AAACGTACTCTGTGTGTACTGGTAGTCTCAGTAACAGATCACATTTGTCACTAAGCTTTACAATGTTTCCCATGTGTAAATGTGTTTTCTTTAATGTATTCTGGCCTAGATGTTGTGTCTCAGATGAGGGAATGAATTAGATGGGGAATTCCAGGGCTGGATTATGTCAACCAAAAGTGAATCAACTTCTCTCCAGTAAGTTCTTTTTAAGATTAGGATAATTATTCTGGCTTTACAGGCAGAGAACCTGATAGAGAAAAGCAGAGTTACTTGCCTGGGTTGGTGAGAGCCTTTGAAGCCCATGTGGGGCCGTGGGAGCAGACCAGGATGCTGGGGGGACCTCGTGGAACTGCAGCGTGGGTGTCGTGGGGCTGCAGCACCAGCTGGGCAGACAAACAGCTCCATAATCCCTCAGGTCAGCCTGGGCATGGATAAATATCTGCTCCACTGAAGTACAGCTGTTCCTTGAACAGTGTGGGTTCCAGTGTGGAAATCCTTGACCCACTTTACCCTGGTTAGATGTGCTCAGTTAAATTCCTGGGATTTCTCTTTCCCCCTCTTCCCACTTGAAGTCAAGTTTTGATGTTGTGTGCCATAGCTGGAAACACTGAGAGCAAGGAGAGAGGAATTTGAGGCAAGTGTTGTATTGTGTCCCACTGAAATAGGACTTAAGGAAGTGGAGTCCTCCTGCTTGTACATCCTGACACAATAAAAGAGGAGGAAAAGAACAGAGAAGTGTGTGAGCAGAGGTGAAGAGCTGTCATTGCCCTGCACTACTGAATAGGCAGAGTGGGCTGATGTCATTGTGGCCATAGGAACAAAAAAACCCCAGAGAGATGCTGGGCTTGATTACATCAGTTCATCAAATTGGCTTTGCTCTCCTCTTTGCACCACCAGCTTTGATGCAAACACTGATGTAATGCAAGCACACTCAGTAATAGTGCAAAACAACCATGTTGCATTTTTTTAGCTTCAGAGAAGATTCTTTGTAATTGAAGAAATGGTGATTGTGCCACTCATTTCAGTAAGTACCTTTTATAACAGTTGACTAGATGACATTCAGCTGGACTGGCAGAGACACATTTTCCTCTTTTGATGCTGTTTCTAGCACAATCCGTAGTTGAAATGGAAAATTTCACTTCTTCATCCTCTTTTACATATACACAGGAACTTGAATAAAGAAGAATGGAAGTCCTGCATTATATTAATGCATTGAAATGTGCAAGTATATTTCCTTTTTTTTGTTTTTAAACTTCCTGCTTATTCTGCCAGCCTGTATGAGAATTTGAATGGGTCCCACTAAGAATAATTGTTGAAGTGGGATTCCCAGCTGGCTTCAGTGGGGGACTTTGGCTCAGCTAGAACACCTAGACTGGCCAACACCAAAACATCTGATATTTATCTTTTGTGGCTTGTTTCAGGAACATGGGTAAAAAAAGATGTACCCATGCTGATCCATTTGCAAAATAAGAGCTTGAATCTGTTTGGATGTAGGTCAATGAAACATGAACATATAGATATTATAATTAAGTTATCTTGGGGTTTACTGAACATGTATTGGTATTGCACTATTTTTTGGCTGTCTCTGTTAGGTGGTAGCTGTCAACAGGACTTGGGTTATCCTGTGCATTCAAACTTTACCAGCTTGGTTTGAGAAATGTTTAGAATGTGGCTTTGGCAAGTGCTGAGAAGGTGTACACTGAGTAATGCTCTTAATAAAAGTGAACCCTTAGGAGTGTTGTGAAGAGAATATAGATTTAGCACATGAGAAATGACAGTAACTATTCCCTTATGATGAGGTATTTGTTTAGCATAATGACAGATGTGGAGGAGGAGGGTCATTTTTGGATTAACTGAGCATTGTGAGAAGTGAGTGCACACTGGGTTATTCTGCCACTGAAAGTCTGTGCCCGTGTAAGCATAAAACATCAGTTTGGCACACTTAATCTGGATTGCTGGGCATTTCTCCTTTAAAACTCTGTCTTGGCTGCTTTTAAAAAGTAGGGTTAGGCAGTTAAAAATGGTTTCTTATGCTATAAAAATAGTTAACAACCTTCTGTTAATATCATGCTAAAATCATCAGACAGCTCTGGTGTTTACAATAGGAAATAATTTTGAGATGTATTTCATTCTCAAATTAGAAAAAAACACAGCTGCCCACAAAATTTACAGTTTTCCAAAATATATAGGAAAATTATATTTAAAAAAAAAAAGGGAGGAGGGGTGAGAAGCAAGCACTCAAATTTCCATGGAAGCTCTGTGTTTATGTAAAGTGCAGCAGCTGCACTGCAAACTCCCCTCTCTGGATGACCTCAGTCCTGAACAAGACAGACTGTTCCGGGTGCAGGTGTGATTACTGAATTATTTGTTCTGTTTTGGTGTCAGTCAGTTACAGAGAAGTATTATGGGTAAAATTTGTATCCACTGAATCAAGTGAATTGGTAGATTTGGTATTCCACAGTTCACTATGTGCCTTCCTGCTATTGCAGAAATAGTGGATTTTATTCTCTTGAATTACATTCGTTAAATAGGACAGGCAAGAGGAAATGACTCCAGCAACAACCTCTGAATACATCAGGCAGGCAGAAAGGCAGGATTGGGCTGAAGATGGTGCTGGACATAAAAGATAGTTTCGACAGCTGAATTGTGATTTTATTTCCCCCCCCCCCAAAGTGTGTGTGCTGTTGACATTGCGAATTTTAAGTTTCTTCTCCATGTTCCACATAAGAAATAGAGCAGTGAAAAATGCTCACAGGGGTATCCAGTCAGCCTTGGTTTGAATGTGATTATCCCTGTGAACCTGTCAGTGGTTATCCTTAGATCACACTGGTCAGATGTCAGTATTTACTTATGTTCTGTGTGCCTTTCATCTCTTACCAGTTTATGAAGTTTAATAGAAAGATCCTTTTCCTTCAGTCCAGTTTGGTGTGGACTGCCAGAGAGCAGGACTACATGTACTGAAACGTGGCTGCTTTTCTCACACTTGTTTCCAACCAAACAAGTCCAGTCAGCCCCTGGGGAACCCAGGTTCTTGAACACCTTCGTGTGTAGGATTGGCTTTTCAGTGTCTTAGAAGAATCAGCACAGGTCTAGAACCCATAAAAACAAATCCTTGTAGGAAGACGGGTGCCGTTTTCTCCAAATACTTAACAAATTCAGTGTCTGCTTTGGCAGCCATTAAAGAGAAAACAATTTATTCACCATAAGATATAAGACTTCAGCAGCCAAGGCCAACTTTCAGTTCGAGGAGGTTCTCCCTTTGGCCACTCAAAGGGCAATAAAAGGACACAGTATTTCAGAGGAGTGGCAATCCTAAAAGGCTTACAGAGAATGATGGCAACAGTGTCTTCTGTGCAGCCATTCTTCTGTTCTAACATGGTGGTGGAATGACTGCTAGCTTTGTGCAAGGCACAGAGCATTGGTACAGAAATGTGTTTGAGAATCTGGGAAAATTTATTTGAAAAGGGAAGTGGATTAACATGAAGATTCCTATGCAAATAGCAATGCACTCATAAACATATTTGTGTTGTGTTTCATGAGCTTGCTATTGCATTGTGTGCTTTAGTAAGTAAAAAATAGATGGAAAATGGAAGGAAGTTTGTTGAGACAGCCTGATTTTAAAAACTGATTCCTGTTTCTGATCCAGTGCAATTTCTTCAAATGATCTGACTCTCATTGAAGACCTATAGGGAAATCAGTCATGAATGATAAACCACCTTGATTGGCTGGCACAGGTCAAAGGAGTGTGTAATCCTCTGTACTGCCAGTATTCCATGATTCTCCTGAGCATAAGAATTGTCTGCTACCTATTTTTCTTTTAAACCATCTGAAGCAGACAGATCTTCCTAATGCAATTGGTAATGCATTCATGGTAGGACTTGGAAACACATCAGCATTTCCAATGGTGGGAAGTAGTTGAAGAGGGATTTGGCAGGTCAAGGACAGCTCAAACACTACCCACTGCTGTTGGAGCAGTGAGACACTGTGGTAAACAGCTGGTGTTTCTGAGTCATTCATTCTGCTGTTCCCACCTCTCTGCTCTGTCTGGGTGTGTGGGTGGCCAGGTACATTACTAGGCAGGGAAGTCATTAAAATTGATGTCACATATCACAGTCATGTTATGGGGGAGAAGGGACATGGTTGCATCCCTCTGTTACCCCTTCTAAAGCCTTTTTGCACTTACCTCCCTGATGGCTGTGACCACCAGCAAAAAGGGTAGGGGAGCAATGTAGGGATGGGCAGATATTGTGCCTCCCAGGGGTACAACAGCCTGTACCTTTAGCCTCACCCCTGGCACGCCAAGCACTGGGTTACAGACCCCTACTAAGGGGCAGGAAGGGTCTTTCTCAGAAACAGAACTATAAATATCTTTGTATTTATGTATTCATTTGCCTGTCTGCTTTCTGGAAGTTGGGTGGTGGTTTTAGGTTTATGGTGGTTGATCTGATGCCTCAGGGGTGTAAAGGGTGGGTTGGTACACTTGGGGCATGTTGAACTCCAGCAGGTGCTTGTGCTTGAATCCCTTCTGCCTCCTGATGAGCACAGTGGGTGCAGTATTATGGTGTGAAGGCTGAGCCTCTTGGGGCTTGGCCAAGGTCACAAGTTAGCTCAGAGCTCCTGGTGTGCTCCCTCTCCTGCACTAACAGCTTGTGTGTACCTTAGCACCAGGCTTGGGCATTCTGCTGCAGAAAAGGCACCTCCATGTAAGAACTGAGGGCAAGGCTCCGACCTCAGCATGAAGTTACAGTAACCTGGACAGGGTTCTGTATGTATGTCCTTTTGTTAGATTGTGTAAAGTAGAGCAGAAAGTCATCCTGTTATTTTAATAACAAAATCTGACACATCTGAGACTGTGGTGGCCAGCTGAAAAAAGACATTGAAATACCCCAAGGTAGTGCCATTCAGCATTCTCAGACAATGAGAATATAACTCGAGATACATAAGAATTGTTTCTTTGTGATCTTTGAACTTGACTGCATGTTTGTCTTATGTTCTTTCAGGTAAGACAGTGAGGTCTTTAACTGCTCCAGAAGAGTGTCTGGAAAGAAAATGTCTCTGGCAAATATGTATCAGGTAACACTGGGTAGTGGGGGAACTTCTTCACTTTTAAGATATTTATCTGAACCAGTCTTGGTGAACTGAGTAACACCTGACTTTGCAGTTACAGATTCAGAGGAAGGAAATCTTGAGCTCTTAGTCACAGAAACCAGAAAAGTGCCTGCTTTTCATTTTTATGTAAAGTGCTGCTGCTTTTGATATGCAAATGGTGCACTGTACCCTGTAACCTCAGTCTTCTAGAAAGCAAAAGGAAGGACAGAGAAAAATGTGTGTGGTGCAGGAATCCAAAGGATATGGAAACAGGGTTCCTACTCTCTTTCACAGTTCAGTCCTAAATTGCAATAAAGCAAAAAGAGATCAAATCAGTTTGGACTCTGAGGGCAATGATTGCCCTGTGTCATAAGGGGCATTTGAGAGTTCCTGCATGTGATGAATATAAAAGGTAACTGAGCTGGCTGAATGTTGAAGTAGCTGTAGCAAGCAGTAATAGAACTGAGTGGGTTGTAGCCGAGTGACAGCTCATCATATAATCATCATGTTTTCCACTTAGAGCATCTCTGAAAAACAAGAAAGATGGTTTCATTCTTGCTGGTCTTCCTCTAACAAGAGGTTTTGAGTAATTGTTTTTTTGGAAAACCTTCATTGACATCTGAGCTGTAGATATTTATTTGGAGTGATAGGGGAGTTATTGCCTGCGGTTCACAATATTTTCTCCCCCACATACCTCATTAAATCAGAGGGAGAATTTCCCTTAGTCATTTTTCTTTTTCCTTAATCTCCTTCTCTTGTCCAGAGGTCAGGCTTGCTCTGCTGGCATTTCACGATGCAAGATAATCACTCAGCACAGCTCAGACTTTGCAGGTTGTGGTGTCTTTGCTGCCCATTCCTTTCCCACCCACCCCTGACCCCTGGGCAGCTGTGGGGGAGCAGCACAGAAGGTCACACTGAGTCTCTCTGAGTGCAGCCACTGAACCTGCCACGGCTCAGCCACACCATGGGGACAGGGCTGACCACAGCCCACCTTCCTCCTCCCTCAGCCCTCGGTTCTGACAGGAACAATGGTTCCATGATGGCATAAAACAGGGGCAGGTTCTCAGTTTTTACAGGAAGCCTCTCACTAACCTCCAAGTCAATCTTTTTTTTTTTTTTTCTTTTTGCATTATCAGGAGAGTGGCAACTGGAAAATGGCTTTATTGGGTGAAATAGGATTTAGAGGAAAATAGGTCTCATGAGGTGAAGCTAAAATGAACAGGAGAGTGCACTTCACACTGTGAGCCTTTAGGCATCTGTACACAGTGTGTGCTCTACTTTTGGGTTATATTTTGTCATCCAGTAGTGACCAGAGAGGTCCTGTCACAGCTGATCAGGTACTTTGGAATATGACCTAGTACTACTCTTCTGTAGTGGGCTTCGGAGCCTGTCAGGTTTTGTATCTAGAGGTGTGTTTTATAGTTCATAAACATCCTCTGCATATTGTGAGCTCTCTAACTAAGCAAATGCACCCAAATCTCGGGGGAAGATAATCAATACATCTCAACAGTAACTGACTTTTACCTGTGGATTCTCTTTTTTTTTTTTTTTTGTGGTTCAAAAACTTTCATATTAAAATGTGTTTCAGTTTAAAAAATATATATAAAAATATATGTCTATATATGCATGTGCATATATATATATATATATAAAAATCTGCCTTGCTTGTTCAAGCAATTTTAATTGCTTTTATTATTTGTGAAGGTGAAGCTGTCCCTGTGAAGTCGATGAAGTGTTGTAAAGATGTTTTGGAGGGTGAAACTGTGCCTGTGTTCTTCCTGTGAAGTCAGCAAACGAAGTGGTTGGTGGAGATGTAAAAGAGTAACTTGAATTGCTTGCTTTTGTGTTCTTTTGGAAGAGGATACCTCTGTTTGCAGCAGTGCACTCCACTCCACTGCTGAAGTTTGTACAGCTCTCTAGCCAGAGGTTTTCCTAATGCAGCCACCCCTGAAGTGTCTGCAGGCCTTGGGAACTGCTTTGCTCCTGACTTTCAGGGACAGTTCCCAGTGTAGCTTTGAGCAGTTACTGCTGGGGGGGGTTTGCATGTGTATAAAATTTAAAAATAGCTTTTTATCGGAAATTTATGGAAGATAAGTTAGAAATCATCAGAAATTAAGAAGTCGTTCATCTTCTGCCTAGGAATGACAGAAGGAATGAATGAAGGACACACTTTGAGATTAGTAAAAGGAATAACTTTGTATGCCTGTAATGGAGTATGATAGAAGAGTTGTGATTAGAAACTTTGATTAATGAAAAGAACTAGTGATTAGTAGTAGTAGTTCAAGATCTGTCTTGTACCAAAGTCTGAGAGGCTCGTGGGAAATGATAATGAACAAGCAAGGCAGATTTTTATATATATATATATATATATGCACATGCATATATAGACATATATTTTTATATATATTTTTTAAACTGAAACACATTTTAATATGAAAGTTTTTGAACCACACAAAAAAAAAGAGAATCCACAGGTAAAAGTCAGTTACTGTTGAGATGTATTGATTATCTTCCCCCGAGATTTGGGTGCATTTGCTTAGTTAGAGAGCTCACAATATGCAGAGGATGTTTAATAAGTGAAGCTCCTGGACAGCTTTCTCTGGCCTCAATGAAATTAGGATTTCTTCCTGTGTATTCCAAAAGATCTCAAACACACTGTCATGCTCATGACAAGCTGTTTGCCTTTATGTGAACAGTCTAAACAGTAAAACTAATCATGGAAGTATATTTGTATGGGTTTAAGCTCTGCCAAATTCAAGATAAAATAAATGAAAACATGACTTAAAAAATAACTTTTTCAACTGTTAAGCCAAGTGATAATTATTTTGAAACCTACACCAATGCACTTGTTGGCTTTGTATTATCCACAAAGAAATTTTTACTTCAGTGTTTTATGTTAGTAATGATGGCAATGTGTGAGAGAAAAAATTGTTAGAATTGAAATTTAATGTCTGTGATTTAGGGTACAGCACAATTCTTGAGAGTTTGTATGAAAACAGTGAATTCAAATGTTAACAAAAAGCTGGGCATACCACACTAAATATTCTTTAGGAGATTTGTATTTTAGCTTACAGATAACCTTTATTTGATCTTTTAATGTGGATTTTGCTTCACTATTCTGACTATGAAAGGGGGAAAATTTCTTTTCTTTGCAAATCCTGTGACTGGTTTATATAGGAAAAATAATTAAGATTTGAATTACATGTCTTGGGACTTTTGCATGTGTGTAAATGTGACATAATTTTTATTCCCTGAAACTTATTCCTTTAATGAAAGTAAGGCAACAAAATGAGCATTTGTTGAGCTGATAGATTAAATCAGATAACTTTTTATTTAAAAGCCAAAACAAAAAACATTTTCTTCATGAAGTTAAACAGAAGTGGTATGAGTTTGTCAGGATAGGCACTGTGAGTAGAAAATGTAACCGTTTTTTCCAAAGTATTTTCTCAGTATTGGAGTTCCTCTGGTTCCTAATTTCTGAGATGTTTTAATGCAAGTGCACAGATAGATATGTAGTGAAGATCAGCTTCTTGAGTTCAGTTTAGATCCATACCATTTTTAACTTTAAAAAAGCCCCTTAGGACTCAATAAATTAAGAATTCTGAGCTTTCAATGGCTAGGGAAAAAGAGCTACTTATTTGATAGCATTTAAAAATGAGTTTGTTCAATGAAGTGTAGGTGTTCACAATATTGGGGAGATAAAAACAAGTTTTATGATCTTGTATTTATTTCTCAGTCCTGTTTACAGAGACTTGATGGGAGCAGCTGGCTGCAGTTCTGACAGCACAGAAGAGTCAGATTAATTTAATGATGTGTAACTAGGCAGTGAAATAATTTAGTCTTTCTTACTCTTGGTAAAATGTTCCTTGGCTATTGAAGAGAAGGAAGATGTTTCAGTTAATTCACTTTTGTTGCCCCCGAATGAACAATGGATGTTATCCCCCATCTCCACCTATGTGCTTTGTACCACTTTCCCAGGAAAACTACTCAGCACTGACTCAAAGAGGATGCTGAAACCTAAAAGGCCTCAAAAGGTGGATTCCTCTTCGATTGGGATTGTAGCTGTTTTATTTCAGAAGGTGAATGTAGATCATGGATAAACGTGAGAGTTTAGATTTAGGCACTGGAAAAGTGCCTTTGCTTTTTTTGATAAAGAAGTATGTGTCGTGTGTATGGTCTTTAATTAAAAAGAGAATTTTCCATTATAAAAAGATGTCTGTAGGTTTTGATCAGTCAGACATTTACTGTGTTTTCTTTATGATGTTACTACAGATGTAAAACATAATTGAGAGGTTTATCACGTCTTAAACTGGAGCTTTGGACAAAAAAATTGCTGCCTCAAAGTGACATGTGGTGCTGAGAGCTAAAGGGAATGTACAGACAGCTTTCCAATACCTCAGTGCTTCTGTCAGTGTTCAACAGCTCTCACAAAAAACACCTTAGTCCCTAATCCTGACAAAACCTCCAAGTGGGCATTTCCACTGTGCCTGTACTGTCCCATTACAGCCTTCTGTGATGGAACCAATCAGAATAAAATTGTTCACAGAGGTTCTTGTTTGCATTTTGAAGTTGGAAATCTCGCTCTACGTAATAAAAAAACACGTGTAGCCATCATCTGCATGACTGGAAGTGTCTGCTTTGATTTTCAAAGATAAAATTTTAAATCTGAGCTTAAACAGTAATTTAATCAATATATTGATTAACAAATGCCTTAACATGCAGTGCTTATTAGAGTTTAATCATGCCAAGATATTACTACACCAAAACCTTCATGAGTCATTAGTGAGAGATTGTCACATTTTGGTTATGCCATAAACAAGACACAGATTGAGTTTTGAGAGTATTAATTACCTTTATAGGAACTGACTGCAAATGTTTCATGTTCTTTCCAGAAAAATTTTCTTGTGATTGTTTCAGTTTGACTCGTGTCATTTGTTTTTCTTTCATTATATATGGATCACTTTGACAGACTCACCAAACAGCTGAATGTAGAATTGAATATTGAGGTCAAATTCATTGCTTGTGTTGGCAGTTACAGTTTCATTTCAATCCCCAATTTACAAGCACAGGTACCTGGCTTTTGCATTGAAAGACATGTTTTGTGTCTCCTTGTCCGTGGCTTGTGCTGTTGGATGAATTTCACCCAATTAGGATGAGACCAATATACTTCCTCTCATTCTCCTCCCCTCTTATTTATTATCCAGTGGGTGCATGCAAAGATCCAGGGACAGTGTTAACAGGAGGTAGAGAAACCAGGAGAGACTCTTCTCTGCCATCCCTTATGTATTCATTGTTTTACTTCACCTTTTTTCTGTCTAGAGAGTGCTCTGTCCTGGCTGGTTTTTGACTTCTGCAATTAAAACAGCTGTTTTTAATGGACCTGCAGAGAGACAGAGGGACACTCTGATGGCCAGTGATACTTTGGGTGGTTTTTCCATGTTTGTGCTGTTCCTAGAAGTGTTAATTGAGTTTTGTGAGTGTCCAGCAGGACATGAGGGCACCAGAGCAGCACAACAGCCACGGGTCCCTTTGTTTGCACCCCCGGCGTTGCTGATGCACCCTTTGCTTCCAGTGCTCTGTGCATGGGACTGGGATGTGTGTTGGGAATGAAATGGTGCTGTTGGAAAGGAATCAGATGAACTCAAAGACCTTGAGCACCATTTTTCAGCTAAGAGAATTTTGGTGTAATTATGTGTTCCATCTGCACACAGCAATATAAACACTACAGCCAGATGGGAGTGAAGTCTGAAATAAAGACCTCTGCAAGAGTCAAAAAAGTATCTGGGCAATTTCTTAAAAACCTCTTGATTTGGCATTTTGGCTTGTTTCTTAAAATGCTGGGAAGCAAAGGTGTTTTATCTTTAGTCAACAATCTAAGTCACGATTTGCATATGAAATTCAGTAGATATTTGTAAAAATGTGCATATAAGTTCCCAACTGCATGGAGTTGTATCTTCGTTTTCTAAATCTTAAATATTTTGTTTTTGTGACCACCACCCCTTGGAAATACTCTGTGTATGCATATGGAGACTGCTTAGTTCTTTCTGGTCAGGTTCCAATGGCTGTTTTCCCTTTTCAGTGGAATTCCACAGAATAGTGAACTTACACAGGATTCTTGGTGGCTGCCATGAGTTCACCAGGTGAAAGCTCAACTGAACCTGTAGAACAGGTAGTGTCTGATGGCTTTAAAAACGACCAGTGAAGGTGTGTTATATTGAAATAAATTTGTGTGACAGCATATACTTGGACAAAATATAGCTGAGAGAGTGAAAAAGGGAAATGATAAGAGAGGTTGCCAGTCTGTCTTTTGTAAAAGAAATGTATTTTACAAATATATGGATTTGCTTACATAAATACAAAAGAAAAAGCAAGTTGTATATGGAGGAGAAAGTGTAATATGTTATAACTAGGAGGAATAAAAAAAGAATTGCGAGAAAGCAATTATTCTTGGTATTTAAAAATTACAAGAATGATAGCCCTAAAAACTGTACAGAATTATGTTTTAAGACCTTGATTAATGACACATAGAGTAATAGAGAAGCAGAATCTAGCCACTGCCAGAAATAATGATATTTGGTCCCAGTATCACTAAACAGGCTGTAAAAGAAGAGCATGTGCAGATCATTTTTGCTCTCTTAGCAAGTAAAGCAGGTTAAAACTAGATAAACTACAACATGCTTGCAAATCCAGTCAGGAAGCAAAACATTTAAGATAAAGCTCATTAAACCACTCGGGTCTGTGCTTCATGGCTAATTTACTTAATATTGAGGATTCTTTTACATCAGGCTGCAGTGCTTTGTTGGTTTGGGGTTTGTTGGGGTTTATTTTATCATATCACTTTTTTGGGAAAAAAAAAATCAATAAATCTCAACTTGCAGATGAATTTTTCGTAAGTAGAAAGGGACTAAATATATTGGATCAGCTGGAATAATTTACTCAGTTCTGTCAGTGACAGAACTGGTCAAACTGGTGGAAAACCAGGTCTCTAACCTGAGGTTTGAGGTATATTGCCTTTGTTTCTCTGAACCAAGCAGGAAGAGGGCTGGACTTACAAGAAGCTGTCATCTGCTGTGCATCAGCTCTGCAGGGCCAAAGCAATGCCCCTCCTAGGGCAGCCCAAGTGGGTTTGTTGAGTTCCCTTTTGGAACACTCATGTCTGGGTTCATGTGTGCCAGTGGTCAGGCACTTTCTGTTTTTCTGTTTGATAATGGACTTTGTTTAATCTGAATTGGATTGGGCTCTGGCTCAAGTTCTTGATAGAAGAGCTGTTGTGATCTCAACAGGGAGATACTGAAGTGCTCGTAACAATCTTGGGAATGGGCAAAGCTGGAGGAAAGGAAGAAATTCTTTTCCCATATTAGTGGTACAGATTAGTGTTCCAGGGTCAAGGTGTGCTTTGGGTATGACAAATAGATGCAGAACAGTACTTTACAGTGTCGCTTTTAGAGTAAAACAGTAAAACATGTTCTGGTCTTTTCTCCATCCTCACAGGCACATGATACTGCAGAGCTCCAAAATCAGAAGTAAATCAGCTGGACAGTTGCCTCCTGTCTTCCTAAATAGGCAAACATACTAGGAACAGAAAAGGGGCCTACCTACCTCATTCCTGTAAGTAGCTGTAACCATCCCTCCACCCCCCATACCAGCATCTGTCCCTGAGCTGTTGTGAAATGCCGAGCAAAGGACGTGGCAAAGAAAAGGAAAATTTTAATTTGTTTTCTGGTTGACAACAATTAAGTGTAGCCAACCAAAGAAACCAACTGAAATTATTAACAGGCTACCAGCATGCCTATTGCCTGTGGCAGCACGGAGCTGGTGGATGATGCAGTGTTACTCATTAAATGAACCTTTATCTGTGCTTCCCAAAGCCTGGATGCTGTGTAAGTTCCTAAACCCACCCATGCCATTGCCATGTTGAACTGCTGCAGCAGTTGATCTGTCCCTGCAGAAGTTCTGGTTTGGGCCTGGTTCTTTGCTTTTACATTTCTTAGCAGTTTGTTGTGTAATAACGTGGTCTAACCCACAGTGTGACTTAGATGGAAGATCCCCCAAGGAACAGCCTTGGTCAGGACAGTGAACAGAACAAAGTGTTTAATGACTGGTGTTTAGCTGATATCAGCTGCTGGGAATTGCCATTTACTTGCTGATTTCTCTGTCCACTCTCCAGGGAGAAGGTGGGTTTACCAGTGTGGATGCCTGCCTCATTTGCTTCACCAAAATGAGTTAGGGCATGCAGGAGAGAAGGGGGATTTCTGCAAGTAGAACCTATCATGGTAAGTCAGATTTTGTCCCTGCTTCTGCTCTAGAATTTCTCAGTGATGCTAAATACATTGCTTAAACCAAACTTTTCCCACAGAAGTCTCTCTTCCCTGGAAGTGTGTTACACATAACACTTCCTTGGCAGCAGGGTTGGATTGAGATGTTCTTCCCTACTACTTTTTCCTCCCCTGTCACCTGAGGTCCACAGAAGTGCTTGAGGGGACCTTCAGCAAATTACAGCAGCAAACTACATGGAGCTGAAAATAATTACTCTCTACCATGTACACAAAAAAATGATGAGTAACTGTGGTCTGTAGTTTTGATTGGACACCACAGCATCTGTCTTGAATATTACACTGAAATTAAGTACATAGGAACTATATTTTTAATTTTGAGTTGCTAAACACTCTGTAAAATGCAGGTACTCAAAATTAATAGTGTTTTTGAAACTAATCTGTCTTCCTTGACTGTGTTTTTAAAATAGTATAATTGCATTCCTTGTTGGCACATTCTTAACTAAGCTCATTCACGTTTTTGTGAGACATGTATGTACTGAACAGGTGAGCGTGGAAGAAAAAAAAGACTCCTGAACCTCCCTTCAGGAGGTTCAAAAGCTTCTAGTAAGTCAAGTTCCTGGGGCCACACTTGAATGGTTGTGTTCAACTCAACATTTGAAAAAATTGCTGATTTAGTGAGCCCTGTCAATTCTGCACAATGTTTAAAATCAGGGTTTAAAATGAAGGAAAACAACAGATTGAGGATATAATTAAAGATTGTATTATAATGTTCGTGCACATTAGAACTGAATGACAATTTTGCATTCTTGCATTTCCTAAGTTTGGCCTGCAGTTATTGCCAGGATGTTGTTCTGGCCCCCTTGGCTGTTCATCCCACTGTGGGAGCCACAGTCTCGAGGCCACGCGCTGTTCAAATTTCAACTCTGTCTGCTTTATTTGCTAGACTGAAAATGGGTTAAAACATCCTTGTACAGAGGTAGAAGACTTGTGTGATATTTGTGACTTTGGCAGCTATAACTGTTCTGTGATCTGTTATTATATTTGACCTGCATGAGCTGCTGTGTAACATTGCCATGAAGTGCAGCAGCAGTGCCAGTGTGAGATGCCACATCCCCCCAGGCAATGTTGGAGGCTGGGTCTTATTTTTTGTACACTGTTATTAAGCCTAATAGTGTTTTGATCATAAAATGAAAGTTCAATGCTTAAGGATGCGAGGACAAAATACCTTGTAGGGAATAATTTTAATTACTGCAAGTATAAGTTCCCTGTCATTGTTCACTGGGATTGTGAAGGAGTCCCAACAGAAGTTCTACCAGTCCACAGCACTGCAGCACAGAAACTGTATCTGCCTTTGTGTCTTCATTAAATCCATTCAGGATTTAATTTGTTTCTAAGCTTAACCTTGGGTTTGAAATTCACTGTAAACCACTTTTTCAACAGCAATAGTGACTAATCAAACATAGGTTATATGTTTGATATAGATCAATTACCCTTCTCCCCACTCCTCAGAATAATAATTCTGTTGTCTCATGTCTTCTCTTCTTTGTTGCCTTCATTTCTTCAGGCTTTCCCAGATTCCCACTTCTGTGTTATCCCAGTTCTCACACATCTTCTCAGTGCCTTGCAAGGATGCACCAGCTCAAGCTTCTGGGCAGAGGTTTCCCAGATGTTGCACTCAGAGATGCCTGAGCAATTGCACATCTACAAACATGAGTTTTGAATTAACTCAGAATTAATTTAAACAAAAGCAAATGCAATATCTTCTTCAAAAATGTTTCCTTGCAAGCAAACCTTCATACCAAATTCATATAAACAGACTGGACTGGGTGAGGATTAAGGCAAACAGAAAAGCAAGGTTAGAATTCACAAATCTTTCTTTGCTATTTTCAAGAATTAATTGTGTTGGGTTTTGGGGATTTTTTTTTTTAATTTTGCTTTTTGCATTTCTTTTGTCTCTGACTGCCAAAGGTCACTTCTTGAACATAAATTCTTTGTCTGTCTCTGCTTCAACATAGATCCTTTCTCTTCCTTTCAGAAGTGGGACTTGATGTCCCAAACCATCTTAAGGTTCCTGAACTGTTGCTGAGCTCATCCATTTTCTCTATAGCTGATGCACAATTTTTTTTCAAAACTCCACCCTTCTCTGTGGGCACTGGTTTTTATTTAAGCTGTTGAGGATTAAGAATAGTGTTAGTAAAACCTTTGGGATTCTTGCTGAGAATTTTATAAGTATCCACTTGGATCAGGAGAAAAAGCTGTGTCCAAGTCTTGCATACAGAATTTTTCCTTTGGATCCATTGTCACTTCAAAAGTCCTTGTGAGTTTGGACCCTGCACTCAGTGTCTGCAAGTCTCTGTCTCTCTACTCGAGTGTCAGACTAATTTTGTTTGTCCTTGCCAGGTCTCCAGCACTGAACAATTGCATTGCTCTGTTCTGCTGGGGCAAAGGCAATCCCTGGTAATGGCTTCTTTAATCTTCTAAAAGTAATTATTTTATTTGGGGCAGTGACTCCAGCCAATTCCAGTCTCCTGTTGGGGAGAGTGGTCAAATAGAGATAAGCAGTGCCTGCATAAGACAAGTTAGTCTCAATCTCTCATTATTTTAATTTAACTGGAAAAAATTCTAAACTTGGTTCTCAAGAGTCCTAACATTGTATGTTTACCCTCTCCTGCCTTGCTTTCAGGTAATACTGGTTAGCACTGTATGTACTATTAACACTTATGTGTCTTATCCAAACCAGATCTATCCAATGTGTCTTGTTTGGCATCTGAAGTGTCTCATTCTACTGTATACTTCAGTTAGATTTTGTTTTTCAAGGTCTAGATAAGCAGAAAATCAGAGTAGACCAGGGAACCTGCAGAACTGAAGAGAAAGGAGGAAAATGAAATAATCTGTTATTCCACCTTGCATCTAAAATTTTTTTGACGACAAAAGTCACTTCTAAGCTTTTGGTTATTTGTTGCAAAAAATAGATCTTTCTTGGATATTCCTTTTACCAGCTTTACAGAACTTACTCCTCTGTGTGTCCCCTGATGCACAACTTGGAAAAGAAACCCCTGGCTTAGATGGCTAAAGCTCCCAGCCAGAGGTGCCACTGTGCTGCTGCTGGGGCTTGTTCTGTGGGACCAAGTCAGGACTCGTCCTTGGCACAGGAATCTTCCAGATTCTGATTTGTTTTACACATCTGCATCAGACATGAGGCATCTGCTGTTTCCACCCCAAGCATAACAAATACTACCTACAAGTTCTTAGGAAACTGCCCCCTTTGGGATGTGGGCAACGTCTCAGAACTTCCTGCAGTGAGTAGGGGGTTATCAACAGGAAGCAAAGCTCACTTTTAATTTTCTGATGCAGTTACTATAACTTGTAGTCAGAGTGATAAGACACGAATGTTATTCTGTTTTATTTATGTTATTCTGTTTTATTTAAGTGTCATCTTGGCTATTGCTGTGGTGGTATTTTTACAGAAGTATGTTGGCTTATTACAGAGCAGTGATGTGATTTTTCAGATAACTGGGACACATTACCTGTCACTGTGGGCAGCTTACTCTAGAATTCATCATTTGGCAGTTACTGTTCATTTTAGGCTAATTTAAGATGATGTATCATTTGATGGTACTCTGAATTTCAATATTGAATTTGTCCTAGGACTCCTCATTAAGGTACAATTAATAAAGACTAACTGCTGTATGAGGATACTTGGGCTGCTCTGCCTAACGTGGGTGGAAGTAGAAGTGTGTTTTAATTGCAGGCAATGCTCTGTCATTTTGAGATTTAATTGCTAGTTGGATTGATTATTTTAATAACTGTCTATTATGAGACAATTTTATTACATAATAGCAACAATATTGTTATTGCATGAGGTACATACTGTCAGTGAGTGCAAACACAGGGCTTTGCTTTTTCAAATGTAGAAAACAAACACTCCAGTTCATGCTCTTTACCTCTGGTATCTGCCTTCACAGGTATCATCACTAATTTTGTCAGTGTGCACTGGACTAGTTTTACTTAGTCCTCATGAAATAGAAATATTTTGCTAATCACCAGAAATAGAGTAAAATACTTCTGAGTCCTGTTCCACAGTGAGAAATGAGATTCATTCTCTTTTGCACAAACTGTATAAATCATGGTTGTTGTTGTGACTGAATCCATGTCTCTAAAGCAGCAACTTCACAGAGCTTTTCAAGCCAGTGTATAAAAAAAAATAAATTAATATCTTAAACACTATTGTCCAAGGTAGTTTCTCCTGGAATTTCAGCAAATTTTTGTTTGTCTTGAAGATTCCTTTGTCTCAGTAAAACTGTTTTTCCAAGGTAGGTGGTTCAAGAGCTGGGTGAAAAGAATTAAATGTATCCTTTAAAACAATTTTCTCACTGGACACTTTAATCATTAGGATGTAATTTAAGAAAAAAATATTGACTTGTTCAGTTTAGAGCAAGAGTCTGTCGTTCTAAAGAAATACACCTTTATCTAAGAAGACCTTAATATATTATAACATGAAAACTACCAATATAGAGCAGTAGAAGGATACAGTTGGAATATTTCATGCAGTATACTTTTGTAGTACTTTAACACTCCTTTTTTAGTTATTTAGCATGAAATCCATGAGAATTTCTCTCCCATTGTTTTTACATGATGTGCATATGAGCACAGTGTCTACAGACTGAGCTATAGACAGTGGCCACGTGATGAAAATATGATCTGTATCTCTCTTGAAGTGTTACTATTTCAGATAAGGTGACTGGAAAATCTAAGTTTCTAATGTGTTAAACCTTTAAAATCAGAACAGTTCACAATAAGTGTGTCCATCTGTTCTGGGTGCTGCATGGGCTCTGTGGTAGTTTCAGCATTTCAGAGCTAAACTATAGCCCAACCTAAGTCCATTCAGTCACATGCTCGTGAGTAAATTCGTGTAGTTTTGAATTACCCCTCTGAAAAGACAAAAAGAATTTCAATAGAATTAAACAAAGACTATCCATACCTGATCTTTTGTTGTC